ATAATTTTCTTCGAATTTATTTCATTAAAATTCATTATTAATTAATTTCTTGCTCCTTTTATAATAATGATTGAAATAAATTCCTTATAATATCAAAATTTCAATTCGGGACCATTATATGTTCATAAATATATAAATGATTTTTTCAAAAAATTCAAAATTTTAATCCACCCTATTTTACTTATTATGATTTTTTTTTACTTTCGATAAAAAAAAATCATAATAAACATTTCCGGATTCTCATAATAATACTAATTTACCAATTTAAATAGCTTGTTAGCCTTTTGGTCTTACGCTTAAGTTTGATTCTCCTCCTTGGAGAGTGTGGCATCCAAAAAATTAAATGGATAATTCATAGACAAAAATATATGCATTCAAAAAATTATCTCTAGAAAACACATTGGAAAATGTAAAAACATGTTTGATCATGGAAACTACCAAAAAAAAGCTAAGTTTATTTATTTTTTATTTTTTTACAAAACTAAGATATTTTTAAATATTGATTCTTTAAATAAGGTAGTTTTAAACTTAATTCTCAAACAAGACAATTTTTTCTCACATAAGATATTTTCATCCACATCACTTTTTTCTTGCTACAATCAATTTGCCTTTTTCTCTAATGTTAAGTATGATTTGTAGCTTCTTGATTCCAAAACCAACTGCAACTAATTTTAATGCTCTCAAAAAAAAAAAAAACAAAAAAACCCAAGTATCTCAATATTACGAACTACCTTCTTCCACTCCACCATTTCGTCTCATCATCCCATGGCTTTATATCCATGAGAATAGATGATTTTCAATTTTTAGCTTTCTCCATTTCCTCTATTGCCTTCATGTCATCTTCGGTAATGTTATTGTACCTTTTTTCATTATCCTTATACGGTAAACTAGAATCAATGAAATCCCTAAAATTTCTCTAGCTAGAAACTAGTTTCCCCTTACTACCCATAGTTGAAAGAGTCAAAGCAAAAATCACTACTTTTCCCCAACAAAAAGTGTGAAAAAGAGCCCTTGCCATGATTCTTTTGCTTCTTTCACTTTCATTATACTCGTTTATTATTAGACGATGAAATGGTAATTTTGTCAAAAATCTTACATCCACTTAACCAAAATATAAAAGCAAACTAAATTCTAACAATAATGATGAAGGATCTACATCCTATGGAGGTGCGAAATAAACAATAATTTTTCTCCATCTAAAGGGCCTAAGATCATGCGAGTTGAATCAACTAACTATATATATACATGAATTAAAGTAATGAATAGAGAATTATCTCTTGTAGCGCAGATCTAAATTCTTTAGCAGAAAAGTCATCCAAGTGTCCGGCCTCATTGATGATCCACGCGAGTCCAAGCATCTATAAAGATCACTCAAAATTAATAAAGTGCTAGCTCCACATTTTCTTATTTATGTAGTGTTTTCTATAGAAATCTAATTCGAGTAATTTTGCAATAACCCAAAGAGATGAGAGAGGAGATGGCATGCCGGTATTAGGAAGAAAACAATTTTCTCCTTAGCTTTTTATTTTGAGCCGTGTGTCCCTTTTATTTTCCTTTGTTGGTTGAATTTTCTCTCACTTTTTCGTATGTGTGTTGCACCTCTCTCCCTCATATATTTACAAGGAGAGACTTTCTTGTCCTCCAAGGACAAGGAGGGGCGACAATGAGTCCCTCGAGGACTCTAGGTTGTTGTTTCATAATCCTCTAAGGATTAGGATTTATTTTTCATATAGGCTTTTGATCTTTATTTTTAAAACATTCATGTTTATCCAATAAGTTTGATCTTTATCCTTAAAACATTCATCTTTATTTAATAAGGTTTATGTTTATCCTCCCATCAAATATATCTTAAGGCTTTTAATTAAATCTATTAGGCCAAAACCATTCGACCCAATTAATTTATTTGGACAATCCAAATAAATAATCTTAGATAATTTTAAGCGACCCATATTAGGAACTAATTTTTTAAAATACCGTTCAACCTAAATTAGGAAACTCATTTCCATTTTAGGTTATTTACTTTCAAATTTGGAACCAACTTCTAAATTAGGAAACTAATTTCTAATAGGAAGCTTTACGTTTTAGAAAACATCCATTTAAGGAAAATTTTCATTTTAGAAAACTTTTCATTTTTAGAAACCTTTTCCAAAATAGGGAACTTTCAAAATTGAAAATTTTTTTCAATATCTTTGTTTTTTTTTTTAATTATGTGAATGCTTAAACTTATACATATGACTCGATAGGCTCACTAGATATGTTGAAAATGTATCAAGAACAAATAACTCATCTTTTATCTCTTGATATATAAATCAATATTAGCCTCTAGTAAGGCATCATGACTACCCAATTCTCTAGAAGAATTAATTAATCTATTATTATCTTTCACGAGCATAGTTACCATACAATTCGGTCTTTATGTTAACTTATCATAGTATGATCTCGAACTTGGTTATAAGTTTTGTTTGATTGTGATCACATAAGTTTTCTTCGATTCTCAAATGTCTTAGCTCTTAGTGTAAACCAACTATGCTTTATTGACGTACTCCTACTATGGCCATAGATTTCTTGAATAGACATTCATCAAAGTGCAATATGATAACTCTTTTAGCATACAAGGAATGACATGTCCTATCTTAATCATACATCTACCTCCATTAGATTCCTAGTGCACCAAACGAATCTCTCATATGCAACTCTTTACTGGGTCTATCGAAACGAGTGTCAAAGTGCATAAATCCTCTAATGAGATAACCGTGATGACTTCAAGTCTAAGAACCACTTGTACCCATCTCGTATGAGATTCCCATAAACTAAACCAAATGGGTTCTCATGGAAAGTCATATCTAGTTATATGCTCTATAACATAAATCACCTAACATCTTGCTTTGGCATCACCATGCCAATAGGTGTGAGATCTCCAACTGCTATCATATAGGATAAGCATAGCACTCACAAGTCTAACCACATATAGCCAACATCCATTATTGATAATGCTATGACTTGGGACGTTTAAAGATATCATTTATATATATTAGTGTTTGTCTCACGTCTTTTGATTAATCACTATTGCAAATGCATATCATAAGGACTTCTATCTAATTTAACTAAATTAATAAACATAAAAACATAAAAATTAATAAAAAGAATTTTATTATTATTATTAAAATGAATGATGCAATAATATAATAACTTAAGCACATTGAAACATAGTTGGATCTTGTGCACTTACACTAACAAATGATACATAATTTCAATTTAGTAGCCATTTTTAATCTCTAATGGTGTTTCTTCTTCAACATTACTTGAATTTCTAGCTCAATACAATAGTTTTCATCATCTTTTCAATCTAAAGGTGAAAAAATAAAGTAAAAATGAAAAAAATATATTGTAATATCGTTGTCACCGACAACCTCCCCCTAGCAAGAGCGGCTTCAACGAGAGCGGCGACAACAATAGTAACACCTTTGTCACCAATTCTCACACCAACAACTTTACCTAGAAAGCTTGGAGCGAGATGTGAAGAAACAAAGTCATACCATTTGATAGTATGTATGTCTATGTGTCAATAAATACCCATTTTGATAAATAAGTTTTAAAATATCATTTTTTTAATTATAAAGATTTAAAAGAATCCTATTTAAAAAAAAAACTCAAAAAATGCTCGTAATAATATTACAAACACAATAAATAAGACAATGATCGAAAACTTATTAGTAAGTAGTTTCACTAGGTCAAGACAATAATATTAAATCACTATTTGTTATCCACAATTCAAATGCCAAGACAATCTCTTTACTTTTTATCCTATTTTGCACATACTTTACAAAGAGATCTTTTACGAAAAGTTTTCTTGATTTTTAATGTTATCTTAATCATTATTGTTATCCTCATCTTTTTTTCCTTTTATACATGTATAAGAACTTGAGAAATAACTTCTTTTGCAATTATATACCAATTGCTTATCTTTTCTTTTCTTTTGTTATTTTCATTTTAAATGATTTTGTTATCGAGTCAATTTGTCATGGACCATACAATCCAAAGCTATTTTTCTAATAGTTATTTTTTTTTTTAATAAGAAATATTGCTACCTCATCACATCATGTCACCATCTTTTTATCTGAAATAATTTTGGTATATCTATATCTAGGTTAAAGTTTAGAACCTTTTCTAAAATAATTAGGATTATAGAAGCATAAATATATCATCAACTATAAATTATGATAGATAAGATTCAAATTCTCAATTTTCACGAACGACCGCTCCGCCCCGAGCTCACCTACCTGTAGCACCATACTCGCCCAAATAAAGTTAAGAATATCTCAATTATTTTACGAATAAGGTAAAAAGAGGTAAGCCAAGCCCATAGTATATACCCCACCAAATCATTCACACATCATTTGTCCAAGCCCACTTCATATCAGGCCGCGTATGTGCCTTTCCTTTCTTTTTCTCTTTAACGTGTATGACCTTCTCTTTATTATCTAATTATATTTATTTATATACTTCTAAACCGAAAAATAAATAAATATATAAAAACCACAACCGATTGTGATAGACTAAAAGCCAGTTATATGACTCTTTCTCGTCTTTTCTGCTTTCTTCTTGGCTTGGCAACTTCATAGCCGGCCAGGCCTGTTAAACCCATTTAATTCAATCCAACAAACACAGCTAACGATCGTTCTCTCCCCCCCCCCCCTCCCTTTTTGTGTGGAATCTGTCCAATCTTAATTGAATTATATGGTCTTCTATTTCTCTAATCGTTTCTTGCTTTTGTTGTTGGAGAGAGAGACACACCAATAGGCACCGACAAGAATACTGTCTTTTGATCTTCAAAAGTAGGTGAATTTCTTGATCTACTTGATATTTTACGAGGTGGTTCGATCTGATATTAGCTCTAGATTGGTGGGTTTTAATTGTTTTTGTGACTTGGATTGGTTAAGATTGGTGGGTTTGAGTTGTTCTTTTGATTTTTTCAAAACAATTATTGGGTTTGATTTGAAATGGTCTATTTCCATAGCTCAATCTCGGTCTGCAACTCAGTTGACCAATCACCACCAACAGCTTCCATGGCAAATTCTGTGAATTCCAGTGAGTTTAATCTAAAATCAAGGCACAACAATAATCATGTGCACAAGAACAGGAAGACAGTCAATGGTTCAAATTGTAAAACTATACCTGCCTGTGATCGATCTCGATCAGCTGTTATTGATGTTGTGATCTTGATTGCTGTTATTGGTGCTTGTGGATTCTTGTTATTTCCTTATATCAAGCTTGTAACTCTTGGTTTGATTGAATTTGTTGCTGCTATTCATCATGTGGTCAAAGAGGAGGTTATGAGAAATCCAATGATATATGGATCTATAGGGATTAGTACTTTTTGTGCTGCAATAGTTGCCTGGATAGTTATTTTATGTACTACTAGGAAATGTGGAAATCCGAACTGCAAGGGCTTAAGGAAGGCGGCAGAATTTGATATTCAGTTGGAGACTGAGGAGTGTGTGAAGAATTCTAATGGTACTTTGGTGAAAGATGGACTGAAGAGGGGCCTTTTTGAATTGCCTCGTGATCACCATCGCGAATTGGAGGCTGAATTGAAGAAGATGGCACCAACTAATGGAAGAGCTGTTCTTGTGTTTCGAGCAAGGTGTGGATGTTCTGTTGGAAGATTGGAGGTTCCCGGACCTAAGAAGCCAAAGAAGATCAAGAAGTAGGATTTTACTTTTATTGTTAATTTTATAGGGACGATACAACCAACACAGGAATAGAGTCGTAAGGGACAGAGGAGTGCCTTCTCCAGTGGATTTTCTCACAGCTACCTTGTCCTTAAATAAGCTCATGGAAATAAGTTGTAAGGGATCATATATACATTTACTTATAGTGGAGAATATAAGAATCCTTTCTTTCATTAACTTTATTTGGTATTATATAATAATCTGTTTCTTTATTCCTGTCTTTCGTTCTCCATTTTATTATTTATTTATTTATTATTATTATTATTTTTTTTGAATACTCATTGTTGCAGTTTATGAAATCTCTTTGAAATATATTATGGTGATTGTTCTTTAACCGATTTATTATTGAACTTCATAATTGGCTTGATCCTATTATCAACTAGAAGTTGTTGAATAGAATGATAGCAATTGGACTCAGGTCTGACAAAAGTAAAGTGCAAAGTTGTATGCTATCCATTTAGTTGCATGATTGAGGGTTCCACATAGATGTGCTTTGGCATCTATAAATGATTATGTAATGGCAAAGCATGAAGCTTTGGCCAATGATTGCATAACATGGAGCTTTCTAAATGTTAAGTCATCAAAGAGATGAATCTTCTTTTCTACTCACTGAAGTAAAGCTTTTGCTTAACATCGAGCTATAGTTACTACACAAACTTCAAAACTCTAAATAAGTACTGGCAAATAGCTCTGCATATATAACGGATGAGAAGTAAATTTTGCACTAGAAAAGGTTTGGGGGTTATAGAAGTAAGGCTCTCTTCTATAAGTAGCATGTGTATAGCTCCTTTTTGTTTATTTGGTTTTCCATATGTTTTTCAGACTTGGCATGACAATAGGAAAGAAAGAAAGAACAAATTTTTCATAGAAAGGTTTTTTCTGTTGCCTTGTCAAGGCAATTTTGTGTGCCCAAATGAAGAAGGCCCTTGTTAGCAAGAAGGAGTTGGCTCTTCTGCAATGTTATGGTGGTAGTGTTTACCTAAATGACAGTGAAGGGTTTTTTAGCAAGTCCATATGAACTGGTTTATTTTTATTTATTTATTTATTTTGGGGGGTAAGAGTAAGGAGGTACAGTTTATCAAAACTAAAATGACTTTTTTTCAAATCTGTATTTTATCAATTTAATTAGTTTGACAACACCTTTTTCTCTTAAGCTGAAGGAAAGTTTTAAATTTGCTTTAATTTCTTCCAGATGAGCCACTTGCAGTTGAAGGAGCACTCTCTTAGAGTTTGATTTATTGGTTCAAATTGCTTTTTCTTTGTAAGAGAGATGCAAATCTGTCTAAATACAATGATTTTCAGTTGCAAGTATCCTATAGCATCACCAAAGAGGAAATTTTTGGGGCACTTGACTGGTGATGCTCTTCGTTTATTCATTTTCCTTATCCTGGTAATATATTTTACCTCTGGTGAAACTGACTAGAACTTTGTGGTTTTAGACCAGAATAATTTTAGCCAAACAGAATGCTGAAATAGCCTTGTGCTGCATGTATCAACTTCTAAAGTATATGCTCCATATGACTTTATTTATTTCGTGGGACATTGAAGGGTTGCTATGTTGCTCTTTTCTTGATTCTGCTTCAATATTGTCCATCCATTATTTTCATTTAGCATTGTCTCTTTCCTAATGGACCCTTCAGAAAGCATAGTTGATTGTCTTGTACTAACTGCTTTGTTTTGTCCTTCGATTAAACTAGTTTTCTTGCCAACTTGGCTAGATTAACACTTGACTTGGGTTGGAATGTTTTGAATCAATGGCAGTTCTTTCGGTGGTAGTTCAACTACTCTTGATTTAGTTATTTTATTATCACATCAGTGCATACTGTAGTTGCTTTTGTATCAATCTGAAGTGAGAATTATCTAGGTAGAATGAAGCCAAAATAGGATTGACTGCAATTACCTCCAAATGACAATGCATTGGCTATTACAATGTTGTTTGTGTAACAAAACCGTATAATATTTGTCGCTGCATATGATGTGATGTGTGTTTCTTGACCTCTTTAACTTTTCTTTTGCTGCTATGTTTTTTGCTTATCAGCTTTTTTTGTATTTTCTGGATCGGTTGATTATTTAGGAGATGTATTATACTTGAATTTAGTTATTGATGACCGTGACTTCCATTTTTCATATAGCCTCTCTCCTTGCAACTGAAAAATCTGAATGTTCAAGGAATAGATGATTCCAAAGATGAACCAACTGGGTAACTACATAATTCATGATTGTAAAGCATGTGTTGCTTTCTTTATGGTCCCTTGTATGCCTTTTGTTAGTAAGTTGTATTAGCAGTTTCGTGTAGGTGTGAAAGAAAGAGCCATGTGAGAGGGATCATTACAGGGTGTATGTGTGAAAGAAAGAGCCATGTGAGAGGGATCATTACCGGAGTTTTGATAGTTGCTGTGTTTAATTGAGAAAGGGTTTCTAAGCAAGCTGGTGTACTGAAAACAGCTTACAAAAAAAAACTTGGAACAGCAGCCTACATTTAGTCAATACCCAAAAGTATCAGAGCTTGCATTTTAGTATTAAGTTAAACGGTGAAGCAGGAGACAGGAGGTATGGGTAAGTCAACACAGAGTTGTGTGAATCCATTGCAGAAGAACTGTGGCACATAAATATGATACTACAGAATGAAATGGAGGGATCGGCAAGATAACCATTGGCTCTTTATTGCATTTTAGAAATCGTCAGCCAATAGCAATATGTACGAAAAACTCAGACGGTAGCCCTATTGCTTATGTGGGGGTTAATCAATTTTCCTGTTTGATCTGAAGCATATAATCGACAGCCACAAAAAAGAGTGCAGAATGATAAGAACTCTTTAAGACAACACATAATCTAGTTCGAAAATTAGAGGCAATAATGCATTAGTTTTGCCATAAATTGATTCACGTAGACAGGTAAGGCTGTGAAACTAACAAACCATACTCTTAATAAGCACTTTGCACATTGAACCATTGCAGGAAAACAACTTTAGCTGCTGTTGTGATGGCAAGAGCATTGACCATGAGGGAGAAATGGCTCATTGTAACAAATTAGCATCATAAAGATATATTACAACTAAATAACCCCCTGATTGCGAATTAATCTTGAAAAAGATTGAAATCTATTTCAACTTATTAAAACAAATAATCAGTGCGTGGGAGTAGATACTTATTTTTAATAGTAACTTGATTCGAACTCCTATAGTCGATATACAACATAAAGGTCCCATCCTTCTTCACGAACAACATCAAGGATCCCCAAGGTGAACAACTAAGACATATAAACCTTTATCTAATAGCTCTTGCAATTGTACCTTCACTCATTTAATTTGATGTCATTCTCTAAGGGGCTTTAAAAATCGAAGCGAGTTCTAGGCTTGAGCTCTATCTCGAACTTCACTTTTGTTTTGGTGGCAAACCCAATAAACTTTTGGGAAAAATATCAAGAAATTCCTTCACCATTTCAATATCCTTTGCTTCGAAGAATCATGCATCCTATGGAGGTGGGGAATTAACAAAAATTTTGTTCTCCTCCAACTAAAGTTCCTAAGATCAACCATTGAATCAAATAACTATATTAACAATAAGATGATTAGGAGTTACCTTTTGTAGCGCATAATTTAAATTTGCAAATTGGAGCCGTCCAAGCGTCCGATCTCTACCGATGATCCATGCAACTTAAATACTCACACAAGAAGCAATAGAAATTGTGGTGTGCTAGGTCCAACTTTTACTGCTTTGTATAATTTTCTCTCAAGAAATCACATTAGGGTTTTTGCGCCAATTTTGGAGAGAAAAGATGCGACAACTTTTGCCTTTTTCTTGTTAGGGAGAGACACACATATTTTCCTTTTTGGGAGTCTTACACCATGTCTCTCTTCCCTCTTTTATATATATATATATATATATATATATATATATATATATATATATATATGGCGGCAACAACTCCTTCTTAGAAAGGAGTTGTTACTTGTACAAGCTTCATTTAACCTTATCGTTGTAAACCTTAATCTTTATCCTTTAGTGGTCAAGATTATCCATCCACTAAAAATATCTTGTCGGCTTTTTAATTAGATCTATTGGCCAAAACTCTTTTGACCCAATCATTCACTAATTAATTTGGACCATTCAAATATATTGGGTTAGATATTTTTAGGGAGGTCCACATTAAAAAATAATTTTACAAGTTACCCTCAAACCTAAATTAGAAAACTGATTTCCATTTTAGGACTTCTAAATTTGAAAACTGATTTCCAAATTAGAAAACTTATTTCTAAAATAGAAAACTGATTTCTATTTTAGGAAACAAATTTTTCAAAACAAGAAAATTTTTCAAAATAGAAAACTTTTTCCAAAACCTTCACTTCTCTTTTATTGTGTTAATGTTTAAACTTATGCATGTGATATAATAGGCTACTAGATATGTCGATAATATATCAAGAAGATAAAAGACACTTCTTTTATCTCTTAATACATAAATCAAGATTAGCCTCTAGCAAGGTATCATGATTACCCAATTCTCTAGAATGATTAATTAATCCATGATTACCTTTCACGAGCATAGTTTCCATCCAATTCAATCCTCATGTTAATTTATTATCATGTGATCTTGAACTTGATTTATAGCCTATTCGATTATGAACACAAGTTTTTTTTAATTTTATTTTCAAATGTCTTAGCTCTCAAGTAAACCAACTATATTCTATTGGTATACTTTCACTGTGACCATAGATTCATTAGTAGACATTCATCGAAATGTAATGTGATAACTCTTTTAGCATATAAGAAATGACATGTCCTATCTCAATCATCCACCTATCTCTATTAGATTTCTAATATACCTAACGAATTGCGCACATATAGCTCTTTACTAAGACCATCGAAACAAATATCAAAGTATATTAATCCTTTGATGAGATAATCTTGATGACTTCAAGTCAAAAGACTACTTGTACCCATCTTGTATGAGATTCCTATAAACTAAGTTAAATGGGTTCT